TGCACAGATAACACATACATATAGATGCACACACTGACATTTATTTTAGTATTTTACATTAATGACAGTTTTGTAAATTGATTTTTATACTCTCGCGAAATGTTGCATGTTGATTTCCCTATGTCTGTCCGTCATTACGGGCAAGCGTTAACGCAAGTACCACTGGAGATACCTTGATGATGGCATGCAAATGTGCTCAGTGCCACCCTACATACATATGTAAGTTGATATTGCAAATGGCGAAAACTGATCGTGGCTTTTGGGCAATGGGCGTGGTACTGTCTACCTGGAAATTTTATAACTCAAAAGTTACTTAACTAATTTGAAACAAATTTGGTGGTATCGACCCTAATATCTAAAGTATATAAAGCCATTTCAAAACCCATTAGCTTGTTTGTTTTTATAATAGATAGTTCGAAAGTCAATTCCGATATAGAAACAATTATGATATGCCGAACCAAAAATGGATGGAAACGAAACCCCTTGCTGACTTTAACGGCTAATGTAGGAAATGTCGTTTAAAATTTAATGTAAATAAAAAAATATGTACAATATAAAAAATTTTGTTATAACAATTATACTTTTGCCTTTTATTTATTATGACAGATTTTTTAATTAACAAAATTCAAATGCACTTAGCATTTATTTCGAATTTGACGCTTAAAGTAGCACACTTACATACATACATATGCATAGGTACTGTGCATATACATATATTATTTCTTTCGATTTTTGCGCCAACTGCATTTGGAAAATATTCTTTAAGTTGCTAATTATATTGAATTTGTGAATGTTATGTAGTTTGTATGTATGTGTGTATGTTTGCATAGCCAAAATTGATGTTCATCATACGTCCGGGTGGCTAATGGTATTCGCTAGTGAGACTATTCTAATCGCCAACAAGCATTTTTAGAAAATATTTCTCTCATATTTCGATTCATACAAAGATTTTTCTCAGTAGAAATAAAAATGATACAAAAAATGTTGAAGTGTTCCATTCATCTATATCAAAGAAACACTTTAAAAAATTGTACACCTTCTTTTTGTTACTTTCCCAGCTCGAACACAAACCAGACACAGAATACTTGGAACTCAATAGGCAGCAAACCTTGAATGCCTGTCCAAAAAAGCATAACGGATATAAGTAGTTTCATTGAGAGCACCGAATGGTTTGATGAAACGAGATAGCTATATTATAAAGGTCCTATGATGGTGCATCAAAATGGCGCATTCAGGGCTCATTGGGTCCAGAGTGGCCTACCTTTTATTCTTTTATAAGTAAAAAAAAAAACACAATAATATTCCGGTCGAAATAAACATTCGAGGTTACATAAATTTACACAATTTGACAGGTAACAAGGTTGTTGTTGTTATTGCATAGGTTATCTAATCCCCGCTTGGGTGGTCAGGTTCGGGTTGGTTAACATCGGAGTCATCTAACGGTAGGCGCAGGAAACATGCTGTTTTGACGAGGTAGATCTCATTGGACGCTGGACATTATATGAAATGTCGGGGTCGATTTTGGATAAGTAAAAGTTTAACTTGCTACAGTATCCAGAACGAAGTTCCAAAAGGGTCACTCTAGATCCTCAAGGCAACACGGTCGCTTCGTCTGTAATGTGTAGTGGTTTGACTCTAAGTGCACCATTCACTGAGAGGGAGTCGGTGAAGGTGTTAATGGCTTCGTTGTGAATAGCGGTCAGTGTGTGTCTAAAGTTAGTTGCGTTTGAAATCTGATCGGCGTACTGTTCGATGTTGTCGACATAATCAAGGAAAGGCCTCTTGATGTTCCTAAGAGACGGCTGCGCTTCAAGCAGACGACTGCAAGGATGAAAAAATCGCAGGGTTATTGACAATCGGAATTTTAACGCAATCGACTGCAATGGTAAGATCTAGTCTGTATTCCTTCGTCCAGTTGGTGAATATGGTCGCTGTTTATTTAGTGGGGGAGAGTGTTAAGCTCTTTGCAGAGGAGAAGCGAGAAAAGTCGAAGCTTTCGAACACATACCATCGATTCCATTGCCCGACGTGAATATCGTGCAATCATCAGCTTAGAAGGTGATGGAAATTCCCTCTTATGGTTGAGGGAGTTTCGAAATGTAGAAGTTAAAGTCACCCTGTGGAACCCCCCCGTTAAATCTTATTTATTTAGAGTTTTGACTTCGAAACATTACGGATGCCGACCGCTCAGATTACTCATGGTGCACCACTGAAAGGAGCGTGGATGGTTTTATGTCCCCAAGTATAATTGAATGTGTCCAAAGCTTTTGACAAGTCCAACCCTACGAGGGTCGTCCTCTCACAGGGTAGTTTTTGATTTAGGTCATGAACTATCTGGGCGTTTATGATGCTAAATGTTGTGATGGTGCTGTGCACTTTGCGGAAGCCATGTTGATGGTCTGCTAGACTCAGGTGGCGAGTGAACGTCGGGAGTAGCAAGACCTCAAATGTCTCAACTACTAGGGATAGGAGTGTTAATGGAGGATAAGACTCCCCTTGGTTGATGGGTTCCACATGTTTCAGTAGTGAGATCACTCTTCCGACATTCCATACATCGGATATTTGTAGAATGGTCAGCGACAGGATTAGGTAGCTTACTCCCGTCGAGCCTAGATGCTTTAGCGTCAACATGTTTAATCCATCTGGGCTAATGAACTTGGATGATTTAGCCTAGTTGATGACACTCCGAACCTCCTTATCGATGAAAGTAAGAGGCGCTCTCTCTTGGCATTTTGCGCAGCTGTCGGGTAACACATCGTTTGGCCTTGTCTGTTGCTGTAGTTGTTGTTGTAGCGGCAGAATTCTGCCGAGTTGACAGTCCTTGGGTGGAATAACTCCGGGTCCGTTCCGGTCAGCCTTGTCTGTCGTAGGGTGCAGTGTAAACGAAATTGAAGTTCCCCAACGATTACGTACGTAGAAATGGGTGCGGTAAAGGTGTTCTTGGTAAATTTTGTGATACCGATCGTGGTGCGCGTTTAAGCCGCTCAGTACCAAACGGTTTTTACCACGAAGTAGGGGACTTATGTTCGGATATTGGGCAATATTGTCTGATAGGATATATATGCCCTGAAGGATAGTATCTCTGCGGTCGATGTCGTCGCGGTAACTGGGTATAATTTACACGACCCTAGACACTAGTGTCGCAGTAGTGCGTTGGTGGTATGGGGCCACGTAACTCGTGGTCTACTCCCTATGTGTCTTAAGGCCATCCGTTGCATGTATTGCACCTAACCGAGGTTTAGTTTAGATGGAGCCTTTTAGCGCATGTGCGGCAGAAAAATTCCTCAGGGCTCGGGTTAAACCCAATGCCAGCATGGGTCAGCTGGCAGTGATCACAAACTTAACCTAGAACTTACCGATCCAAACAGGGTTAGATCGCCGAAATAACAGCCCTTGGCCGAATAAAATCCGGGTCAATTCCATTACCGTAAACTCGGCTGTCGTGGGAATTGACAGGTAACAAGGTCGATATCGGCGGTTTTAATTCGATTTCATCTATTTTTACACTGTCGGTAGGGGTTCTTAAGGTATTTGTCCTAATCGAATTTGGTTATTGTAGCTTAAGTGGTTTAGGAGCTATGTAACTTGTTAGAGTGCGGGGCCACGCCCATTTTTTCAAAATATTTAGCCCACAGGTGCCCCTTGCTACTGCAATCTCCTGTACCAAATAGAGTTTTAAATCATAATTCAGTGCTTAGTTATGGCATTTTATAAGTTTTCAATTAATGGCGTTTTGTGGGCGCGACAGTGGTCCGATTAGGCCCATCTACAAGCTCACTGTCATGTCAAGTAACATGTATACCAAGTTTTATTAGGATATCTCAATTTTTACTCAAGTTACAGCTTGCACAGACAGTCACTCGAATTTCAACACGTCTCATCATCCTAATCATTTATATTAATATAACTCTATATCTAAACCGATTACTTTTAGGGGATACAAACAGCCATTACTTGAACAAAACTATTATACTCTGTAGCAACATGTTGCAAAAGTATAAAAAAAACTGAAAACATAAAAGATACATATACTGGAATAGGTATCCAGTATCTGATGTTTAGACACAAAAATTATTGAAAGTACATATTATTCACATTCAGTTTAAAAGCATTTTATTTATTATTTAAGGCAAGCTTTAATTTCTTTGTGGAAAATGTCAATACATTGTATTTAAAAACGTTATACGAAAATCCAATCATAATTCGTTGTTGATTTGATTTACATAAACAAAAGTTGATAACTTTTTTTTTTGAATTAATGCCATATATTGAATCACAAAATTTAAATATATTAAAGATACGTACATACATATACTCCATTGCAAACTTGTTTAAAATGTGTATTGACTTTCAGACTTGTTTTTTAAACTTTGCGTAGCAATTAATAATTTTGTGATTTTATAATTTTATGTTAAAAATGGAAAACTACGTTTTGTGATATAGTATATATTGACTTTATTATTTATTATTTTATTCGTGTCATATAATATTGCCTAAAGTGTTATATATGTAAGTATTAGTGTATATAAATATGTATTATTTAATGTCTTATATATCACAATGTCACGGATATCATTGAACGTAGTCAATCTAATTCGAAGTAAAATATAGTTTGTGGAGCAACATGTTCACTTTTGTAATTGCTATTGAATACACTATTTTTAATTGTTTAAATATTTAAGTTTCGTCAAATTTATTTGACTGGAAGATGAGCGTATTATTCATTGTTCAATAGTGTAACTAGTTATTTCTGTGGAAAACGTACTAAATATCTCTAGAGCTACTCTGTATTTCTTTACATAGTAAATATTGAAATGTAAATAATAAAATTACTATTTAGTCTAGAAATATATAATTAGCAGATAATTATTATACATTTTATAATTCGTTAGATAAATAAGCTAAGCTTAAATGTGTTGTGCTATCACTGGTTTTAAGTTCGCCACGAACCTTACGCCTGATTTCAACTACTTTTGTATATTGTTACGACTAATCAACAATTTTAACAATTAAATATTAATTTTAAAAAAATTACACATTCATATAACGGTAGCCGCCACTTCCAACACGATAATTATCGCTCAGCTTGATATACTGACCCAGGAAGTATTGCACTGGTCCGCTACGACAAATGCCATGTAAATATGCCACCAAATGTGGCGTCAAAACGGTTATCACAATGTAAGCCACATTCGGCACGCGGCCAGTATGTCCAATCGGGCAAAACCAATAACCACGACGCACGGCATCACGGGTATGATGTGTGACAAAAGCGCAAAACAACACTCCAAAGGTTAAAGATGTCTTAAAATAGTTTAAACTCGCTGTGCATATGTAGAATATGAGTAGTAGAAAAATTATACTCGAACAATGCAGAAAAGGTCGCCGTGGTAAATTAGTCGCATCCTGCGAATTTTAATGTAATATTGAATATACATATGGTAATTTACATTTCCAATTTTAAAACTTGATTCTCTCACCTCTAAGTACAATGAACGCGCTTCTATAAAGTGATCCAAATCAATCAAAGAAGATACGGCGAAACAGGTGAATATCAGGAACCATCCCAGCAAATTGCTGGTACGCTCGTGAAATTGTACAGCGAACGCAATGCCTGTTAATGCACCAATTATAGCGTGTGTAGCATTATCGGCCAATGCTTTTAATAAAGGATGTTGCGTCAGCTCAACAAAATTATCTCCCAGCAGACAAGTGATAGTCAATAATGTTGTAAGTACAATGCGTACGTAGACCATTATATGGCAGTGCATTTGCAGTTTATAAAAAACTGATGTCACCAAACAAAGTAACAAAAATGTGATACAAAGATATTTTGATTTTAACTATTGTTTTTTTTTCTTTTTTGTGGACGGATCAAAGTTATTGCCGTTCTTATATTTTTCGACACTCAATTTATAGTTGTGATCAAAATCGTAATTCACAATTTGTAACTGAAATGTTGTGCAAGTTATGCGTTAAATTCCATAAACATATGCTTTTAAAAGAAAAGGCACTATTGTAAACCTACAATTTATGTTCACACTCCAAAGACTCACATAATAAACAATACATATTATGAAATTCAATATTACCAGAAAACTTCTCAAACAAAAACGTTTTACCTGTGTCGATTTTTCAAAGTTGTGCACTCGTCACCTTTTGATTTGGCCATGTGCAAACTTAAGGTGATGAGGCGGTAATTCTCAATGCCCTCCCACTACTAATAACAATGCCCTAATTTACTTTACACGGTTTGTGTACAAATTACCGCATTTACCACATACTCTACATTTTGTGTTGTTTTTTCACCGGTAATTGATTAATTTCTTGAACCTTGAACTGAACAGCTGTGTTCTGTTTTCATTCGTCACGGTTGCATTCAGTAAATAATAACAAAATTTATTAAATCACTTTTCGAATAAATTTTGTTTGCGGAAATTCTACAGGTTAGAAGGATACATGATGTAGCAAGCTATACAATAAGTTTCATCAGAAAACATCCTTGTTCCTAAATTTAAAAAAAAATCCGTTCTCTTTCTAAATAATCGATTCAACTATCATTGGATTCAACCAAGCGCTTATCTCTACTTACATTGTGGCGCCAAATCTAATCAGCTGTTTATAAAAGGATTTAAAAACTAAATTTTAACTATAATAATATGAATGTTAAAATTAAAAAAATGAGAATCCCAATTGAACTTAAACAATTGCTGAAGAATCAGGCTGATCATGGTAAGAGTGTAGTAAATGAATATTCTCATTTTATATTGGAGATCCACTGATTGAAGGTATTTCTTGTGCGCCGGAATCAAATGAGGACGATTACTCAAACTTATTGGCGAGAGTTCCAGGACCAGCAGGTTCACCATACGAAGGCGGCGTATTCCAAATTAAGATAAGTTTTGGCACCCAATATCCTTTCCAACCACCAACTTTCAAGTTCTCTACGCCCATTTATCATCCAAACATAGACAACTGTGAGTTTATTGACATTTTTGATTTAAACATAACTTATTTTATTTAAAATAGCGGGCAAGATTTGTTTGGATTTGTTACGTATGCCCCCAGCCGGTTCTTACAATCCTGCTATTACACTAGAGTCAATGCTACTCTCCATTCAATTACTATTAGCTTCTCCTAACCCAGACGATCCGTTGAATAGCGAAGCAGCGCAACTCTACAAAACTAATCATGAGCAATTTATTATTAAAACACGAGAATTAGTGCAAAAAGATTGTACAAACTACAAAAATGGCATATAAAAGGTCCAGCCACAAAGCGATTTAAATAAATCACCGATATCACCCAGAAAAAAAAAACAGTTCAATTCAGCTGTCGTGCAGATATACAATTCTATTTTAATGTCTTCATTTCCAAGTTGGTCATCACCGTTACAATTATTTATTATTTAATCAATACATTTCATTTTATTTCAATTAATTTTATGTTGACAATTATTTATTTATTTAGCAATTTAATTTATAATGGGCATCATGAATTATTTAACTGTGTATTCCACTTAGACGCTAGGTGCGCTTGTTTTGCGTGTCCTATAAATGAACATCACATCTAAAATGTAAAATCCACGAAAAGGAAATCAAATATGAAACTAAACAAATAAATAACAAATAGACATGTTGATTTTAAACTATTTGACTGTTTCGCTATAAAACCGCCTCACAAGTGTGTTTTACAGAAATATGAATAAGTCTAAATAAGAATAGTTGTGTTAATTGAGTCATGTAAAAGTATGAACAAACTTTTAAATACTAAATAATAGCAAATAATTACATGAAAGCATTGTTAAAAAATTTAATTATACCTACTTAAAATGTTCTTATAAATAGCGCATATGTATCTCTTAATAAACGACTTAACATGTTTTGTGTTGTGTGGTTGCTCACAGGCTTACGATGGCAGCGTCGGCAGTGAACTGACAACAGATCGTAGAAACTTTTTAAACTATAAAATAAAATCGATTACAGATGAATTTCATAATAATGCAGTTTGATGGTGTATTAATAATGTATAAATGTGTTGTATGAATCAGCACAGCGAAGACACTTTTTCGTTGACTTTGACCATTCTGACGAGAACAACACCACGACCCGACAATTATGAACAATGTAACGTACTTTTTCTGTATTAAAGCGTCTAACGCTCTGCCTTTTATTATTCCAGGGTTTAAGAATTTATGTGTCCTTGTGTTTTTCGTAAAAGGCATCCAGGTATTTTTTGTACTCGGCTTGATCCGCCCACATCATTGCCGCCTGAGCATTTAGCGGACTGTCATTATTGGGTTCACCTAATAGCGATTGTATGGACAGCAGGATTGTGCGTACATCATATAGTGCCGACCATTTATCTTTCAATATATCCAAACATATACAGCCAGCTAGATCTACGTTTGGATGGAAACAGGGTGTCAAAAATTTTACTGCTGGAGGTGCGTATGGATATGAATTTGGAAACTCCAACGAGAGACGATACTTTTGACCCACATATACTGTATTGGCTGGACCAGCAATCGTACCAATCCATTTAAATATATTTTCACCATCGGGGAATGCTGATATACCTTTCTCTGTTGCCATCATTAAGTTCATCAACTCTTTTTGGAGACTATTATAAACAGAGAAAATATCAATTATTAGTATATACATATATATATATATTGGGGGTATGATATCAGCCATACCGTTTACTAACTGCATGTCCATGCTTTGCTGCACAGGAGTTGGCACCTTGTTTCGCAGAGTCTACTCCACTATGCTCTGGACTGATGTTCTGAGCCATTATATTTTAGAAAACTGGGAATTTTTATTAGATATATGTAATTTAAGCACTGGCTTAAACGATTGCAATATCTGCAAAATTTTTTGAAGTTTTCGTCGCCAATAAATATTTTTTTTAGTTGTGATAAATTTTTCCGCAACTAAGTTGTTTTCTCTATTTGATGACTTTTTTATTTTACTTCTTCTCGCATTCGCTGTATAAATTGACAGTTATAAACAAAATGGAGATTTTGAAAGGAGACAAATTCAGCAATTCAGCCAGAGACGCCTACTGGGCACTAGCGAATTAACTTGACAAGCCCAAAGAAATAAAAAAGTTATTTTAAGTAATAATAAATCGAAGATAATATTTACATTACTTAAATATGAGATTTAATAATTAAAAGGATATACTAATAAATTCACGACTTAACAAATATATCTATAGTTTATGATTATAATTGCTTTGTGGGGTGTCCAACCAATTGAAATGTAGTAACATCTCTGGCAGTGCATGTACGTTAGGTTTATCAAAGTAGAGTGAAAACAAAATCAATAAATAACGTAAAAGAAAATAAAGTAAAATCTTTGTTTTCAAACTGGACATCGGGATTCAATGGCTCAACCTTTTCAAGGAGTGCAATCTCCTTCCGCAAAGAGTAATAATGGTAACGCAACGGAGAATGTTACGCCCGAAAGTGAATTTGAAGGATTCCACAACTATACGGCTGCTGAAGTTTTTATCCAAGGATTGGCTGGATTAGTCAATCAAGGAGACGTTGAAACTATGATACGAGCGCAAAAGCAAATGTGAGTCAAATTCCAGAACTATTATTGCAATCTCTAAATGTTGGTTATTACAAATATAGGCTGCAGCGGTTTGAAAAAACGAATGAAATGATGTTAAACTGTAACCAGTTATCGCAAAGTCGTCTTAAAAATGCGAATGATGATTTCAAAAAACATGTGAAACTATTAACCGAAATGAAAAAGGATCTGGATTATGTTTTTAGGAAGGTGCGTTCCATAAAACAAAAGCTAAGCCAACAGTATCCTTTAGCATACGCCGAGGCTCAGCCACAGCGAAGCAGTTTAGCAGAGGAAGCAGAAGATGAGACCGAAGCGATGAGTTCCAAATCGAGTATAGAGAAACAAAATGTGGAATGTTATGCTAATGTTGATGACACATCTTCGAAAACCAACAAAGATTCTTTAAAGAAAAGTACAACTGTTGAATATGTGCAAATGGAAGAAGCCGTGGATAATGGCAAACCCATTGAAAACGAGTTAATCAAACGTGTATGCTCCATTGAAACCACAAACCCGAATGACTCATCAGACTGTACATCTGAGGACACGGGATAGGCAATGGTGGTAGGTAATTTAGTACATTAATATATTTTATTTAAGATTAAACTAAAACAATATACAAGAAGTATAAGTTCAATAAATACAACTTACAATATTATTTGATATTTGTATTGCTTTGGGACTTTTGAGATTAAAACACGACCATCGTAACTCAGAGACGCAAATATCCAAGGATCGACATTGCTCCACTCGACGCAATACACCGAATCTTCATGTTGGTCAAAAGTTTGTAATAAACCATCAGAGAGTACACGTCGTCGTTCCTCAGGTAGTGCATCAGTAGATGCTTCTGAACTTACCGAACCAGCACATGTCAGTAAAACTTTACAATCACTTGAGCTCGATAATATTAATTGGTCATGGAATGTGTTAAATCGTACCGCCCAAACCCAATGAGCGTGGTCATTACGTGAAAATACTGCTTCTTTTGGCATACGACAATCCCAAACTTTTACTGCACCATCATCACCGCCTGTTACAATATGGCATTGTTTATTTGGATTGCAATCCAGATCACGAACTAGTTGATTATGTGCATCCTCAATGGACCACGCACAGTGTTGGGTGTCACGTATATCAAACGAGCGCACATTACAATCATGTAGTGTAAAAAACTGATGACCTTGATGATGATGGGACCACTTTCCTGTTGTAAAAGAAGGTGAATTCTTCTGAGCATTTGATGCCGCAGCTTCTGCTACAACACGAGTCTGTGACTCAGCACGATCAAAAATAACAACTTTTCCATCTACTACACAAGCTAAAGTATTTTTCTGACTGGGATGAAACTCAACAGTTTTCACTTTATCACCATATTTCTAAAAGTAACTAGTATTAATATAAGTTGTATACATGTATTTAATAATTTTTACCTCCGTATCGAGTATTTCAACGTGCTGCCAAGGTAGAAATTCCATTTTTAAATTTTGTTCATCCACTTCAGCAGGCATTTCAAGCAATGCCGCTTGTGTTTGCACTTGTGAACCTTTAAGTACATTGTAACAGGAGGCAATCAAATTTTCATCATGTGGGCTACTATTTAACTTCCACACTTCACCAAGCGAATGTTCGTAGATCTATATAGATTAGAAGTAAATTGAGGTGCTAGACATTTTTTTTTTGTATATGCATTTACCTTCGATTTTACATTTGCTTGCTCCTCATTAAACTCCAGTAGATGAACTTGATTTGTAGGTTTTAATGAGTTGGTCGCTATAAAAAAGCGTACCTCATTTCCTTCGCCGTATTGAGGAGTTAATGCCCGAGCCTATTTTGTGAACAAATAGCATAATAAATGTATTTCAACGATATTGTTTTAATGTTTTTTAACATCGTACTTGCAATTCTAAGCCATAAATTAATCCATTAGACTCGTCCATTTTTAAACAATATGAGGAACAGACTATCCTAATATAATCAATTTCTTTTTTATTATGATCAACAAAATATGTACATATATGTTGTGACAATGTTTTTTTTTTTTATTTTACGTATCAGCTGCTACTATAAATCGCTTGCGGCAACCGCTTATCGCTAATAGCATGATAACTTTTGCATGCAAAGAATCAATAAATCGTTTTGTCAGTTAAATTTCATGTTTTTATTACAATTAAACATTACACTATAGTGGGGGTAAAAAAACATGCTATAACAACAAAGTAAAGTAAGATAATTTCTTTAAAACAATATTTGGGATAATAAGCTCACGTTCAATGATGAGCGGATCGCAGCGTTCGCTAAAGTCTTTCGAATAATTTTCAATAGATATGGCATCAACTAGTAAACTTCAAAATTTGTAAACAAACACACATAACTTTTTTCGGAACATTTCGTTTTTATCACATCTTTCTTGACGAAGTAAAATAAAGTGTAGAGCTGATGACGAGGTCGCAACAAAATTTTCAAGAATATTGATTTTCTCTCAACATCGGTTGCAATCAAAACACGCAAATTATCTTTACATTGACTTGGACGAGTTTTGTTATGTAGTAGAAGATAAATATACAAATACTTTTGGAAATTAAATTTAAAAAAATTAGTAACAATTAAATCGTATACACAGTTTTAAAGGCGTGTTAATAACAATTTGTGAAGTACCTAGATTTTGAAAAGGCGAAGGCCTAGAGTTTGAAATGTCATCTCGCGCACTTAAGAAATTGCAAAGTGGTATAGAAAAGGATTTAATAATCGATGGCAAAGTTAGCAACGTTGATGATCAACTTAGTGAGGACGATGATGAGCTGGAAACAACACGGGGAAAGCACTTGAATCCCTTTGACCTGGTAAGTAATTATAATAACTCATTGCACAAGCAGATAGAAAAATGGAGCAACTGAATGGTAACAATCGTCAAAGTATAGAGACAAATGACACGCATTCACAACAATTATATGTGACGACAACTAGCAACAGACACCTTTAAGATTAGTCACAGAAACGGATGGAAGCTGCTATTAATACGATATACAAGTGTTGGTGCTAAATATCATTTCTCAAATGTTATATTTTACTCTGACACTATAAAGTGAGGGAAACTTTTTGATGCATATCAATTTTGTTTTTATTTTCGTTCTATATTTTCACATTAACTTTCGAACATAACATTTAAATGCCACCTACATCACACCAGTTGAATCAACAAAGTTTCTCGGAGAGCGAAGTCAAAGAGGATGACAACGAAACGGAGCATGCTTCAACGGCGGCAAATCTACCAAGTGGGGCAGGTGGTGGTGGTGCAGCCAAACAAAAGAAGAAGAAGAAGCGCAAGAAGAAGACAAAGTACACCGGCAACCACATAAGCAGTGAGGATAATGAGGTAAGATGAAGAACAGAAAAGTGTGAATGAATGATTGTTTATTTTGAACTGCCTGCCGTCGTTGCAAACTGATATTACTAGTGCACTAGGTCAAGTAAGCGAACATAATAAAAATAAAAAGGGTTATAAATACAAAAAAATATAAAGTTTTTATATGTGACACTAAAATGTTGAATATTGCTTAGTATTACACAGTCTGAAAATGTACTTTCAATTCAAAAATATATTCTAGCTCACAGATAAATACCTAAGCGATATAGATTCCTTTATCGGCAAAGTAAATGATGCCACAAACCAAAACGAAAATTTGGAACCTCCTAAAATAGAGGTCGATCATTCATTGCTGAGAGTAGAAGTAAGACACTTAAATCCACAAAATGAGATGCGTCGAACATTTGGTAAACGAGTTGTTAAAATTGAGTAAGTATTACTATTTATTTACTGCCTTCTACATATAAATAATTTTTATTTCTCACTTTAGGAACAAACGTGGCCGTCAAAAATCGACATTGAAGTGTACATACATGGTAACTGCCAAAGATTCATGGCCTCGTATCCCGAAAAACGTTATTTCGATGAAAGCTGTACAGCCACCGGATCAGTTGGCAGGCCCTAGCCGTGCTCACATTAATCCTTTAGAGAAAATTCAATGGTTTGCTTTCGAACACAGCGCATACTATCAGGGAATACAAAATTTATTTTTGCAAGCGGTTGAACGCACTGATTCAGAATTCTTTATTAGTTTGATAAGGCGTTGCCCATATCACGTGGATTCTTTAATACAGCTAAGTGAATTATGTAAGTGATAAGCCAATATGAAAATTTTATGCACAAACGTATAAACTTTATATAAAAATCATATATATATATATTTATCTATAATAATTCCATGTATAGGTAAAATGACAGAGAACTATAGCTTAGCAGCTGAACTTATTGAGCGAGCCGTACTTGTGCTAGAGTACTCACTACATCCTTGTTTCAGTTTGACATCGGGCAATTGTCGCCTTGATTACCGTCGTCAAGAAAATCGAGCATTCTTTATTACGCTGTTTAAATATTCGCAATATTTGGAAGCTCGTGCTTGTTGTCGCACCGCTTTTGAAATTTCCAAGTTAATATTGAATATGAATCCGAAAGTTGACCCGCTTGCTATTGTACTGATTATTGACTACTATGCTTTGCGTAGCAAGCAATATGCATGGCTTATAAAATTCTATGAGGAATATGATGTCGCGCGCAACTTATCTCAGTTACCAAATATGGCATACTCATATGCTTTGGCATTATTTTGCCAATCAGGAGGTGGATATAATTTTTCATCCATAAATATTTTGTACTAATAATTAAATTTTTACATTTCTAATAGATTGTGAAAAATCAAATAAAGCTTTGCAGTATGCACTATTAATGTTTCCTGGAGTGCTGCGTATGCTTCTGGATGAATTATCTGTACAGACAGATATGCGTGTAATAACATCATCTTACTTTAACTCTTCGATATCTAGCAGGTAAATTTGATAATTTTTATTAACATAACCTTGTATAAATTGTAACAACTCCTGTACTCTCTCTCTCTTTCGCTATTTCATAGCCAATCACCTTCACTGCATCAGCTTGTGTCATTATACGTCTGTCGAGCCAAAGTGGTGTGGCGTGTGGATAATATGTTGCCTTGGTTGGAGCATAATGTTAATGCAGTTTTGGATCTTGTTGATAAAAAGGATGAAATAATTAACGATTACAACAAGAAGCGTGCTGTGCGTTATGTCTCGCCGCCACGCCCCATTTTACGTCATGTGATACTATCGGATTATAAGGAAAAAGTACCATTAGCTCCATTCCTCAGCGCGGAGAAGGATCCGATAATGATGTATGACCCTTTGCCGCCACTGGACTCGATGAACTGCTATGAGCGGTATACACAAGAACAATTGGATAAATCCTTATCATAATGCAAAGTTTAGATACAATGCTTGTGCGGTATTTAAACTTTGTACACAAGTAATGTTAGACTTTGTATACTATGTACAGTACAGTATAGTAAAGATGTACAGTTACATAAAACTAAATAGAAATACTTTTTGATTTGCCATAGTTTAAAATTAATGTAATCAATTCGGAACAAATCTGAAAATAATGGATTCAAAACAACAACAAAAAACTAGACATAAGCACACAATTTTTAAATTATTGAATTTATTTATTTTATTTTAATCCGACATTTGACAAATAACGAAATAAATAATTATACAATTACATTTATAATTTGGTTTGCAACCTATCCTTAAAAAATATTAATATTTTTACTGTTGCACCATTGACATTTTGTATTTCGGCAATATGACTTTGTATTATCTTTACGTATACATTGTGATTAACATTCTTTTTAAGTCAACCTCTAGTATCTTAATGTACATCGTGCCTGCGCCAACAAAAGGAGTTTTGTGATTATTATCGATTTATCTCCTTTTGCTTTCATTTAAAAAAAAAGTGAATTAAACAAAAACTGTAGTTCTTTTGTTCGTCTGAAAACATATAAAAACATGCACACTGTTTTTGTTAGCGCAGCGACTTTCATTAAAATAGTTATTGATAATATTCTTATATTATAGAAAATCATCGTCTAGCAGCCCAACAACTGGTCCAAATCGATCGGTTCTCATGTTTTTTGAATCGCTGATGCCGACCTTCAATTTAAATAATCGTGGTGGTGAGCAACAGCAACAAAATGTCGCAGTAGAAGCTGTGGCCGAACGTGCTCATGCTTTGCCCGCACCACAAGTCAATTTAGGTCATGATGATGATGAAGTAGCGCAGGTGGATCGCCATCTTCAAGCATTGAATGCGAATTTGGAAAATGCCGCAGGTGAAGGTGTGTTAATTGCAAAACAAAAAAAAATTGAAGTTTTCATAGAGTAAAATATAGCAGATATATATAGATATCAACTCATTGGCATGCCTAATATGAAGGAAAGCTTATTTTTCAAATAACGGAAAACTTTAACATTATAATTAGAAACAGAAAATGTGTTTTTATTACATAATTAATCACACATTTCGAAATGCTTCAAAATATTAATCTATCTTTTCAATTATTTTAGATCCTGTCGCCAATCCTGAAGGTGGCGCTTCGTATCGAGAACTCACACAATCGCTGACAAATATCGTAGATGCTATGCGTGATTTTTTGCAAAATTTCCGTATTGTCGAGCCCATGCAGACGGCTGATGGTGAAGAAAATGGCAGTTCCGAAGAAGACACTAGTGATTACTTTGATTGAATTGATGTGTCGCGCCTTTACTTCTTTTCCCTTTAATTTTCTACTTTTCTGTTAAAATTCTTACTACAATTCCCCTTCAATTCAATTCAATTTAATTCTAATCAAAAACTTTACTTCAATTCACTTCTATCAAAGTTTATAAAAATCAAGCAGAGAACAACCTCTTAAACGCAGAACAAATACCCGTCGAATGGAAAAGCCTTTTGGAACTTACTTTTTATAAAGTATATAAACTAGAAAAAGAATTTAAATTTGATAAAAAGAAAAATTATGAACAAAAATTGTTTATAACTAAACAAATTTAATACTTTAATAGGAAAGGAAGAGAAGTAACATTTAATGTAATCGCACTTTTACTTGATAGTACACATGCGTGCGCTAAAGTACACAAAGAAATATGCATAAATCAATGGCTTTTAGAAATATATGTAAAAGAAAAATAAATGAATTACTGTTAACAAATATAAATACATTTTAATTATAAACTCGCAAACAAATTAATGTGTGTTCTCTAATCTTAACGTCAGCACCACCAATTTATTGACTTTATTACAACACTTTTAATAACTATTCATATACATACAACATACAAACATACATAATTATTCTATTTATGTGAAGAATTTAAAATTGCAATTTAATTCAATTGCTGTCACTTTGACATATTATAAACAGCTAAATAACATGAAATAAGTGTACTGTTATTGCAAAATTGCATTCGAAAGAAAATTGTGTGAAGCGGCGCTCAAAGAAATAGCGAGTGACGTTTATAATTGACGAAATCTCTTTTCGTCCTGTTTTCTAACTAAAATTTGTTAAGGTAATATGATAACATCAAATTTGAATAAAAATAAATACTAACCCCCCCAAAAATATATTTTTATTTACGTGGAGAAATCGACTCTGTATTTCGGTTCTGGTTTGTCAAGCCCTAAAAGCTTAGCAGCTTTTCTTGAACGATTCAGAGGATGCTGCATGCCTGTTTTGGCCTACAAGGACACTGAAGGCCTGAAGAAATCAGTATTTTCAAAAAATCCATGCTGGGACATAATTGTTGGCATTCAAGTTATTATGTTTATTATATTATCAACGACATCTTGTTTAGGAATTCTCAAAACAAATCGTTTTAAATTTATTGCACTAACTTTTCCTTTGACTTCAGTTTACAGTAAGCAACGGAATATAGCATAACTATACAAACCGTTGTATTATGGAATTAAATAAATCAAAATTGAATAAATGAAACTTGCATTTTTATTTCACATTGATTTTATTTAATTCTCTTAAAGAATCACATTCTTCACACAATATATTTTTTTCAGTGTATTCGCACATTTCTATTCATTAATAGTTTTTATTCAATTTAATTGTAATTGGCCAAAATGTTAAATATTTAGTTATATACTTTCTCGTACTATATTGTTTCACTTTTTCATAACTGATCATAAAAATGAAAATTTAGGTTAATAATAGAATAACATACACTTGCAACGCTTGCATAAGTAATGCAAATAAAGCAATTAAATATAATAGTTTATTAACTTCGTATAAAAAATGAACATTCAACTCAATTGCATCACTTGCACTTGCGCTCAGCAGCTGAAAGAGCGTAAATACATATGTATGTGTATAAAAGTGCCAACATTACAATAAATGCGTCGGCACTATTCAAATAATTATCTTTTATGTCATTATAATAAGCAATAATAAGACTTTTCTAATTATAATAATACGACAAAAAATGCGGCTTGATCATTAGTTATTGACTTTAAGTATTACATACGACGAGTTACATTACAACTTAGCAACATTACACAGATATATTTCATTGTATTACGAAGATTTACACATAACATTTCATCCGTAAAAAAAAGTTGATGTGTGCGTTAATCTCAACTTGATCTGGCTAACCGTTGTGAGTTTTCGTAAACGATGCCAAATTGCACGAACGACGTACTTAAAACGAAATTTTAAAATAAGTGGAATTTTATAAATTGCATAGTAGGTAGAGGTGGAAAACAATTCTGCGAGCACAGTCTGATTCATATATGATTATGTCATGGTGCCAAATACAGGATTATGACGACAAATTCCTGGACCATATTCCTCATAAGCAGCCTTTGTGTGGCACACTTGATAAAACTCAGGCTGTAAGTTAAAAAAGAAGCATATGAGCATAGACAAGCCTTATATGTGTTAGCAATAAAGAAAAATTACCGTCGATGCCAACATGCTGCCGCCAAACCACACGGCATATCGCTGCATATGATGTGTTATGACTTGAACATCGATTGGTTTTGGCTAAAAACCGGAAAAGTGTCATAGAAGTATTATGTTTTATAAAATTTTCAGCTATATATACCTTAATGCGGCCTTCTGATAAGTTTTCGCTGATTCGGAGGCGTGTGTCAACGGATCGTTTTATATCACGCTGTAAACGACGTCCGAAATCTTTGAACATTGTCGAACCGCCGCTCAATACTATATTATTGTATAGGGGTCGTCGTACATCAATCGGGCAATTTTGTATGACATTGTCTACGATTTCTGATAGTGGTGTGGTGAAATCGGGGTTTGAAAACTCGGGATGGAAGAAAATCTCAGGTCCTATCATATGTACAAAAAAAAATTATATATTAATGTCAAATTGACCATTTATAAATATATGTAACATATATTGCATACCTAAGAAACGTTCGTAGCCTACATCGACACTGAATGGATTCTTGGTGACCGCGTTAGTACCCGTATAGTTGCGTATCCATTTGCCCGGCTCCGTATCATATTTGGCAAATTCTTTGGCAATGTCTGGACAAATATAACAGTGCTTCTCCTTAATCGCTTTGGCAGTTTCTAAACTTTGCTCAGGCGGTATGCCTACTTCACGTTCGCGCAATAAACTCTGTATGAACGAGGTGATATTGCGACCAGCAATGGGAATATGTTTAATACAAGAACCAATTACGTAGCCCTCAGCCTGAAAAGTATTAAATATACGAAAAAATTATACCTTAAAGTTTCAATTGTGTATAGCAACTTTTTCCATTAACAATACAATAAATATTGACATATAGAAGGTTCAAATCGAATGCTATTTTGCTCAGATAAGATAAAGGCACTAATACAATAAGTCGCTGTTAGCAATTGAACGACCATAGCTACATATATATCATTTGAACACATACCACAGGTATAACGTGTGTTACACCATCACCGCTATCGACAACAATGCCTGTTAGTGTGCGTCCTTCTACAGGCCTGGCGGCCCAACTCGCGGCCAAGGCAAGTACAGCCTAGAAAAAATCAAATATGCATTCATATATGACCACATTTCCTTTTCTTGCAAAGCATATACACACCTGCACAGCGATATAGAGACCAGGAACATTAAATGTTTCAAACATAATCTCAGCGGTATATTCGCGATTCTCTGGTGTATTGAGCGGCGGTTCAGTTAGCAAAAAATGATGATCTTCTGGTTCTGCACGCAGATATTTAAAAATGCACTGCTCGAGAAAACGTTCCATCAAGTCCCAGTCTTCCACCAATCCATGACGCACTGGGTACTGTAAGCGAAGTTAACATTATTAAATTAATGAGTTCTTTGTAGTGTTATCTCAAATGGTGCTATTAGTCATCATTAGTCATTGCGTTAATTTTTTTTTTACTTGCCTTAACTGAGTATCCGGTAGCATCGAATGCTTCGTCGCCAATAAAGAAATCTAAATCCTCAACACCTTTCGTTATTCTCCGGGTGTTAGTGTCACCAACTCGCGCTGTCTCCTTAATTGCAATGGCCGAGGGAATAATAAATTGCGGCTCTTTGTTGCCCGCATACCCCAACTTTGTATAGCTGTAAAATGGAAATTTTTCAATTTATGAGAAATATGCGAAATATGGAGTATATTTGCATGTTTTTTTTTCTTTTTTACATCGCTTTGGTGGGGGCCGCTTGTACACCACTACGTACACATACAGTGATCAATGAACCAGCGACCTCCTTTTTTGCAGCAAATGTTCGCTCACTCACCCTGTGCCAACATCGATCACACAAGCCGGTAGACGTCCTGCCATTATGCTGTTACTTTAATCTTTAAATTTTACACTTTCTCAAATAACTTTAACAGTTTTTTATAATCTAACGCATTAATCTAATAGTAAAATTTATGTTTTTCAACCACACCTTATTTCTTGTTCAACGCACTTTTCCTTCTTTTATCGAGAAACGAAAAAAAATCGCTGACATTTAATGGTTCTGTCAATGCGTCACGATGACAATTGACAACGAATGGGAAAAAACAAATATAACAGTTTGAAAGCATTGCCAGAAGACTTTGAATTGGGGAGGAAAATATTTTATTTGCAAAATATAAGTACAAATATTAACTAAATCTATATTTAAGCATTACAAAAGTTTGTTTTTCTACAAGTTATTTTTTAAAAAGGGTACAAGTAAATTTAACACAACAATTTATCGAAATTATATGTATTTTAATTAGGTATTATTTGTTACGAATTAATGGACTAGGTGTAATGGCATCTCTATTCAAAATTGACAGTACGCAGTTGACGAAGTTTTTTGCAAAGAAAATAAAAAGTTTTATCATCTGTAAAAAATTGAAACTTGAATATGATAGACAGTGATTCACTTTTATATTGAATTTATTGCAAATATAAAGTTAATTGAACTTGTAAATGCAGCAAATTGTAAATGCGTTGCAAAATAAATAAAGATTATTCAATATTTGGCATTGATTGTTAAAAGTTAGGGCTTAAAAGACAGCAGTAGCATAGTACCAGTGGTCGTATGATACCAAAAAGCAAAAACATATAGAAAGTGGGCGACGTAAGTGGTCTTGAAGGAAATACCCCCACCATAATTGAATTTTGTACAACAAAGAAAGGTGTGTGCGACGTAATATTGTGAGGTGTAATTATAAAAAGCATAACTGCTTTAAATAGCTTATCTGTACACCACAAAAAGAACAGCAATAAAGAAATAAAGACAAGGCTTCCATTCAAACAAAACAAGCAAGCAATTTTTGTTTCGTACGCGCTTACATATAATATTCATTGCATTGCTGGTCAACTAACACTCAACCACAGTGTCTACTTACGAGAGCATGGATTTGCAGCATATGGAGAATGGCATCAGTGGCGGTGGCCACGGTGCTGTTGCTGGTCAAACTGCTGGTTTCAGTGAAACCGACTTTCAACGACTTGCCCAAACTATTGCAACAAGCATACAAAAAATATTACAAAATGGTAAATATAACTTATAAATTTTTTGGAGTAAATTTGTAATTAATGTGTGTAAACAAATTGCAGTGTCTACCATGCAACGTATGGTCAACCAATTTAATACCCCACAGGATTCACCCGATTTGAAGAAACAGCTGTGAGTTTACCAAATTACTTTAACAACAGTTTATAAATTTAATATTTTTCTTTATTTTAATGTAGACATCAAATAATGACCTACACGCATCAGTTGGTTTCGGATACAAATAATCACTTAAAAGAGGTGGATAAGTGCAAAGAACGTCATTTAAAAATACAACGTGATCGTTTGGTTGACGAATTCACTGCTGCTTTAACAGCATTTCAGGTAAAAGCAATGTACATATGTATGCTAGCAAGAAGCACACGAAGCAGTTGCTCATATTGCATATACTTATTAAAAAAGCAAATATGGTTTCATTGTTTTCAACGTTTGTGTTTATGCTTATTATCGCTTTTTTCCTGTACTTGGTCTTCATTAGTCATTCACTATCTGTTTTAACTTAATCCGCTGCTATCTTTATTGTGTGTTTTATATATTGGCGATAATTATTATACTAATAAACAAATAAATTATTTCATTAGACCATAGTTTAGATAAAATTCAATTTTTAAATTAAAAAATTAATATTCAATTTTTAATCCCAAAAAACTTGCTCTCATTACCTTTCGTCGTCATAATTTATATCTTATAAGAAATCAGTACACACAACAACCAAAAAAGGTTTATATCCCTTTTCAGACATTAACCATATGGTTATCTGAAAAAAAATTGTTACAAGTTTTTTTTTTGAATTTTAAAATCATTTATAAATCTTAAAGGGCGTACAACGTAAGACGGTCGATATCGAAAAGAATGCTGTACGACAAGCGCGTGCGCACAGCTATAATATTAGTAAACCACCGGGCACGAATAGCAGCAGTGGCAGTGGCAGTGGCGGTACCAGTGGCAGCAACAATAGCGGTTCATTCTTCGAGGATAATTTTTTCAATCGTAAATCGAATCAATCACAGCAACAAACACAAATGCAGGAAGAAATCGATTTGCAAGCGCTGGAAGAGCAAGAGCGACAAATACGTGAACTGGAGGTAAATGAAAAAATAAAGCAGAAAATTTCAACTTATAATTTATACTAACTTATATTAAACAGGAAAATATTGTGGGCGTAAATGAGATTTACAAGAAACTGGGTGCTATGGTATACGAACAAGGTCTAACCGTCGACTCGATCGAATCGTCTGTGGAGCAGACTAGTGTATTTGTATCACAGGGTGCTGATAATCTGCGTAAAGCCAGTTCGTATAAAGTAAGTTAGTGGTTGCACCTGTCGCTGAACAGGATATATTAAGTTTGTCGCGAAGTATGTAACACCCAGAAAGTGGCGTGGGAGACGCTATAAAATATATCAGTGGTCAGCATGTTGAGCTAAGTCGATTTAGCCATGCCCGTCTGTCTCTCCATCTGTCTGTATATATGCGAACAAGTCTCTTAGTTTTTTTGATGTCGATCTGAAATTTTGAACCATCCTCTTCTCGCCATGAAGCTGCTAATTTGTCGGAACCGCCGATATCGGATCACTATAGCTGCCATACAAACTGTAGGATCAAAATTAAGATAAAAATTCAGAAACTCTTTTATTTGAAAAGATATCTTCACCAAATTTGGCATGCGCTATTGTTGAAAGTGCAATCTCGGAACAAATTGGCATATAGCATATAGCTGCTATATAATAATATAAAAATCATCATCAATCTTTTGTATGGAAACTTTTGTATCTGTTAAGGTTATTAGAGCTTAGGTGCAACAAAAGTTAACGTGTTTTCTTTTTTTTTTTAGTAAAGATTTGAAAATAATATTTTTTGTTTTTACCAATTTCAGAACAAACTGCGCAAGAAGAAGCTCATATTGATCGGCGTTCTCTCGGTAATACTTTTTATCATCGTTATGATACTTGTATTCGAGTTTAAAAAATAATTGCAAATGTGAACGAAAGAAAGTATTTTTTGCTGGCAATGTGTTTTTGTTTTTGCATTCTATCACACGCTGCTGCAAAGTTGCAATTAAAGTTTGTTTCGAACTTCAACATACATACATATATTTAACAGTTCAGGTGATATTTGAAAGCAAGAACTTTCCGTGGAAGTCTAAATATATTTATAATAATCGATTAGAACTTATTGAAGTAGACGAAAAAGAAATCGTAAGTGTTGAAGAAGGCGCAACCATTGTCAGTTCGCCAATTTGTACAAAATATGTATAGTATATGTATGTTTTCCAGTTTGAAATGGGTTGCATCACTTAATTTGCCACTGAAAACAACAATAAAAATGAAAAATTTCGAAAACGAGACCAAAAATTAAAAAAAAAAAATTAAATATTAACAATGTACATTCTCATTTAAAAAAATCACTTTGTGGCGGTCGATATTTATATACTGTATATGTATATTATTATATTGTATTATTTAACCTTAATATATAAATTTATACTTTTATGCAAAAAATTATATACATATTTATTAACTCATTTAAAATATATAAGGCACTTAGATTTGTATGAACTTCAAATACGTTCGTATCTGTATGTATATGGAATTGTAGTGTGTAATTGTTAAGCAGACAACACGCTTAGAGCTAAATGGCCGAACGCTTTTAATATTTATCCATTGCACTGTGCTACACAATTCTTGTTTTCTCAAATTTCTACAAAATTTATTTAATCAATTTGATAGTTATTATGTATTTTGTTGCTGCATTCGATTTGTTTACATTTTGTTCAGACTTAAAAAGTAAATTATTGCTTGCTATTGCAATGAAAGAGAAAGCAGTTATTTTTATTTGGTTGGGAATCGCAAAATATGTATTAATACAAGAGATAAAATACAAAAAATACTTACGAACCAACTAAACGAAATGATGTGGACACAAATAAATGCATATAATAAAATGTAATTTCTCGTTTGTTTGTCAGGGTTGCAATAATGCAAATAATACATTTAACTAACATTGAATTAAATTTTTTATTTAAAAAAAATAATAATTTTAATGCGGCATCGAATTAAAAAATATATATAAAAAAATTAAATCCCAGATACCGGATTAGCAAATAAAAAGGAAAAATATTAATTTCAAGCAAATTAAGAAAATAATTTGTTTTAGAATTAACATTTTTTCACACTCATTCAAAACAAAAAACAAATATACAATTTTTAATCCCAAACATCTTGGATTAAAAAACCAAAATTTAATTTTTCTTCTTTGTCAGTACATTATGTATGTATGTATATCATTAATTTGAAGTGTAAACAATAATAATTGTTTTCATTCAAATATGTCGAACTTTGTGTTTGAAAAAGTGTTTTTGCTGGGAGTTTTTCATTACTTTTACATGAAGAAATTTTCAGCCAAAGCCCTATTTTGCTCGTACTTCCACCACGATTTCGTCTGATTGGCTTATCTGAAACAAAAAATTAGCGTCGTTTTAATCTATAAGCCTAGATGCACGGAATGGACTATTAGCTAGTACATATATATACTAAAAATTGGACTGTTGGTAGACATTTGAAAAAAAAAGTTGCGAATTGTCCCTTATTTTATTTTTTACTATAAAAAATCGAAAATTTGGGAAAAAGTTCATTCCAAGCGTGTGTGCCGTTTTTGAGATACAATGGAGGAAAGTTTGAAAAACACAGTTTTGAGAAAAACGCGTTTAAAGTTTCAAGTCTAACAACTCAGCGCTCCGAACAGCTTCTTCTAACTGCTGTGTATTTAAAACGAGTTCGAATTTTTAAAAATCAGTTCGCTACCTATTCTAGACATGTTAAGAAAGCAATTTATGAAAAAATTCGAAAACATCTGACATTTTAGACAACATAATCGGACGTTATGTGCTAAAAAAAAACACTCATATTCATTTACATTACAAATATAAAATTCAGAAAACTCTTTCGATCAATTAGCACACCTTCTCGCAGCAGAAGGAGTACCAGTTAAGCCGGTGATCTAAGCACATTGTTGATTTTTACAGATTCGTCTAATAACCACGTCCATTGACAGCATAGACCTGAACAAAGCCTTCGCGACAGTAGCATTCAATTTTTTAACACAATATTTAAGAACACTAACAAATACATTGACACATCGAGAAGCCATCAATCATTAGTGGTGAACACACAGGTCATCGCGATAGCAAATACCTGCATAATTTCATATTTGTACAAGCCCATATACGTTTCTGGCAAGTATAGGAATGTCTAAATTCATTTCTGCATCATCACTCAATCCGGATAATGCCACACTTGACCATTTTGCCGCAAGACTTGAATGTGGGGGAAAAAATAAAACTGAATGAATACGCAAGAGCGCCGTAAAGCACTTCGGCGGATACCCCAAGCCAAACTGCCAGATTCGGAATTGGGATTATGTTAAACACCTTGACTCGCTTGCGGCAGGATCCTACCGAAGACAGCGACACTTCATGGCTCGAAGTTCAACTAAGCGAGCGTTATATTTACGATTATACTTGTACATTTGTGTATGTGTATGTTGGTTAACAAATCAACCCAGCCATTGCGTCTCTACGGTGTGGCAAGTGAGAGCCTATTTGCTTGATCACTCTGAAGTGTGTAGACGGGATCACTTGCACTTAGCTCGATCGAGTGCCATATTATTACCGCCTATTTGGTTGGCAACTTATTTAACTGAAAATTTAAGCCGAATCACGTTTCGCTCAACAAAGCAGCAGATCTCGCTACGAGCGTGTAGAAAAAGTTGTACACTTTCAGAAACAAATCCAAAAAATTATCCAACTTCATTTCAGCACAATCACTCTTAAACGCTTGTTGTAGTTATTGCTGTTGTTGTTGCACATAATGACAGCATTGAATAATTTGGTAAATTTGTGCCAATTCATGTGCATTGATAGCACGAATGCGTTAATTGTCAGTGGGACAAGTCATCAACGTGTCAGCGTAACTGCGCCCCTGCCCCTGTACTCAGTCCCAGCAGCACATCCCACACAACAGCGACTTGTAAGCATTGAAGCGTTCAACGGTCTTCATTCATTCATGCAATCCATCCGCACAAGTGCCTTAGCGACTGCTGAGGGCTTTAGGCTGTTACAACGGTACGCATATCACTATGATCAGTGTCGATGACGATGACTAAGCCGCGAAGTTGGTGTGTTAGTGTGATTGGTGATCGCCACGACACTCGTTTGCAGTCATTTGTGGACTTAAATGCACTTGTTCGGCATGAAGTGGATTGAAGGCAGCACTTCATCGACCCAATGGCTCAGTCCCTTTTGGGGACACCCGCACGTATTTACGTATTTACAAAAACATGTAGACCCAAGTGTGTCGATCTGTACTGGCATTACTTAGATATTTGTTTATTTGTATTTGGTTTTTATTTCGTTCTTAACAGATAATAGGGTAGTTCATAAATTTTCGCAGCGTCATCATTCACCTCCAACGATCGTGCCATTGTTCGCGCAGATCGGTCTTGTGTGTGGCATTAAACGAAAAGGCGTTAAATTGTTGACTGCCAAGAAGCTATTGAATGAAATTCTACGGCCACTTTTAGAGCGTCGTCCGCTGCTCCACTATTATATGGAGAAATAAAGCATTTGAATTTACTATACTCGTGAAGGTTATAATAAAATCTATGAATTGAAAACGTTCAAGTGTTTTCCTTTGCCCTCTACTTAGACAGTCTTCAACAGTCATTCAGTTGCAGTGCATTCCAAATGTGTTGCTAATTACTTTGTATTGTTTCAGTCATTGGTTTAATTAGAATACATGCAGTAATTAGGAGGATTAATTATAATAAATTTAGTAATTCTTTTTCAAACTCTTACGCCGTCTTGTCGCAGTTATAAATCTTTCGATTAATTTTTGTGAAAAGTTTCCTGCAGGCCATGTTCATTAGTTCCTTTTACTCTTTCGGGTATGATAACGGTCAGTATCATCGCTGCGCTCAAATAATTTGGTACTCTCAATGAAACTACAATACTTACAATATCTTCATTATGATTTTTGGGAACCCGTTTTCTTATTCGCTTCTAGCTTGCAGCTGCTGCAAATACTGTTATAAAGCAGGCTCCATTTTCAGCGCATGCTCTCCAAAAGGCCAGTGGCCCGTTGTATTAGCTGTAAGTCTGTATATACTGTTTCTGGACCTAATTAGTAGTTTATAGGTTCTCTTTCATTATATTATATTTGGGCCATATCTGCTTTGTTATCTTTTTCGTTGCCGAACATGTTTCTGTGACCCGGAACCCAAATTATGGATAAGTGGAGTTGATCATTGAAGTATATCCCCGCCCCTACTCCGTAGTCCAAAGTTTTGGGAAAGGATGTGTGCCAAATTTCAGATCGGTATCTCAAAAACAGAGACACGGATAGACGGATATGTCAAAATCGACTCAACTTGACACACTGATCAACTATACTTGTATATCCTTCGTGGGAAGCTTAATATAGTATAAAAAAAAATAAGGTTTATTTTCACAGACTTATTTTCTTTTAATGAATAAAGTCCTTTTTTGACTACGCAAGGAAATAAGGATTATTTACATAACCGCACGCCAGTTTTCTATTAATTATAATTATTTATCACCAAGAAATCGGCCTAAGAGACTGGTAAGTTTTTATAGGCGGGAGTTCACTACAATCACAAGCAATCATAACAATCAAACAATGATGGAAGAAATGATTGATTCCTTTCATTTGAACATTTTCTTTTGTAGAAGTCATTATTTGGAGACACATGCACGTGCATACCTATATTGAATACCGATACCTAGGTACATATGTAAGAACTTATTTACCCCGTCGTATTGGTGGCATTCGTTAATCCCTTTAAGCGGGACAAAGCGACACATAGCACACCATTAGACAGTCATAAAGCCACCTACAGTAGCAGTGGTCACGTTGCGCCCGGGTCGTGGACATACACACCTTATGTCGGTTAAATGGAACTCATATGCGGCCAGATTCATACATATATACATATGTGTACATATGTTTTTGCTTAAATATTTATGCGATATTAAAATATGAATTGATACCTCAAAAGGAAGATCCGTGCGGTCGATCGCCAACGCTTAGATAAACAAAATTAACGCCGCAGGCAAGAATCCTGTCTGTACAGCGGCAGGGATTAATATCGTTTTCACATTTGCAAAACTGTGGATTATGCAAGTACAAACACATATATGTACATATGTATGTGTATCTGTGTTGGGCCGCTTGGTCAACACTTCAATTCTTAGCGGGAATCTTATTTGTAAGGTCATTTTGTGCAAACAAATCTTCTGTTTTTCTATTTTCATGGCTTAAGGATTTGACTGCCAAATTTTCATTGTCCTGATACAGACATACATACTTACATGTACTGAGGTCAGTATGTGCATATTTTAATGCCATTTGCGTGTCTATTAGAATCGACTGCGAAATGCCAAACGTTTTGTCCGAACATAAACATATGTTTTGACTTTCGGACAAGTGGGAATTTTCCGCATTTTAATTTATTTGAATTGGCAGTGTTTTGGATTTTCTAAGCTTAGCTTGGATTGACTTTCAACTTTCCAACTTTATTTAATTTTGGTAATTTCCGTTTTATGGATTATGAGCGATAGTTTCATATTTTCATTACATCTGTGATTATATAAATTTTGAGAAATTCGTACAAACGCTATGTATATATATATATATATATGTATTTGTATAGGGATTTTTTGAATATATGGTATTTCAAAAATCATAGGTTCAAATAGCTTTTCCATAAGCTTCAGTACATTGCGCTAAAAATGCTGAAGCTTTCCTACAAATATAAGATCCTATCTTAAAGTTTTTGTATTAAAACTTGTTTTTCAAAACAATGGCATATCTGACTTAGGTAAGTCAAGTATTGGTTAAGAATAATATAGTCAAAATTGCTACAGGAATCGT